TTAGTGTTTGTTCATTGATGGATGTGTAGAAGATTTTTGGTATTTTGAAGTTGCAGTAGCAGGGTTGGTTATTGTCAGAAAATGGTTAAATGATGACAAGTTCTTCACTGGGGGATTTATAGTCAACAGTCCCTCTTCATTAGATATATCTGAATATTAATATATAGGATTAATACAAATATAACATTTTGTCACTTAGCTGATTGATGTTATATTCAGCACCACTAATCCAGAGTTTTGTATACAAACCATTTTTGTAATCTTTCCGTCCATTCGTCAAGGGGTTTCAGCAATTGTCTGCAGATTTTCTCATTTTTGTTATTTTTATATTAAGTTAGAAAATGTTTATTTTTCCCTCTTCTTCGTGTGAATGTCTGTGTGCGTGTGTACATATGTGTGTGTTCCCGTTTGTGTTTATAAGTATAAGTGTGTGTGTCCACCTGCACGTGTGTGTATGTGCACATGTGTAAATATACATACATGCGTACATACATACATATATATATATATATATATATATATATATATATATATGAAAAAGTGGGAAAAGGTATTCGTATAAGACTTTAGGACATTGTCGGCCTATGGTTATGTTTACGCTGATGCGACTGCACATGTAAATATCTACCGAGAATGTTGAAACATTGGAAGATTGTGGACGCAAATTTCCTGAAACTGATCAGGCCATTAAAGCACGTTGTATACATTTTCATCTTAGAAAATTGTTCTCTCTTTTAATTAATGTAGCATTTTAAATATCAAAATTATGGTAATTTTTGTTACACTAATTGACTAATGCTGTTATTTGTTGTTTTTTAAACCTCCAAAACAATAAAAGACTTAATTAATACAAAACTAAATAACAAGCTAAAATTTACATGAGGAGTTTACTCTATTATCTGTAATAATTACCACAAGGTATACATCGGTGAAACTTGATGGAATTAAATAGAAGATTATATGAACATAAAAGGGAAATTTTACTAAACAACATTACAACGTTTCAGCGATTCTTACGACAAACGGTATCAAGATGGCTAAACGTCTTATCTTAAAGCCAGTAAAAAAGAAACACAATATGTTTAGTAATTTTTTAGACGTTAAACATTTAGTGGGATGGACAATTACGCTCTAACACAATTTGAACAATTTTGCTGTTACACCCGGTATATATATATATATATATATATATATATATATATATATATATATGCAATTTTAGCGTGAAACCCAGGGTCAAAGACTCATATCAATATATATATATATATATATATATATATATATATATATATATATATATATATATATATGTTAACTCTATCTCTGATATTGAGCGCTTTCTAATAAGTACCGCACATATAATATATAAATAATTATATATATATATATATATATATATATATTTATATATACACACTTTTCACACACACACACACACACACACACACACACACACACACACACACACACACACACACACACATATATATATATATATATATAGGAATATAGTTTTAAGGTTTGCTATAATTATGGGAAAATGTGATCAGAGATAGAGCGTATGTAAAATATACATATAAAAGTGAACGTTGAAGTCAACATTCAGAGGCGACAAGGCTGTTTCGTGCTAGGCGCAATTGCATGTCGCCTCTGAGTGTTGACTTCAACGTTCATATATATATATATATATATATATATATATATATATATATATATATATATATGAAATGGGAAGAGGAAATATGTGCCTAGATTTTAGCCGACGGGTTTCATCATTTGACGGATTTTATCAAGGTAAATATAATGTTTTTATTTTGCAACAAGTATATATTTGGCAGTTACTCAAAATTTTAAATTCAAGAACTCTCATATATATATTCATCAGGTTAACTGAAATAGTTTAGGTGTTAGAACCTAGATTACGACATATAGCATCTTCGAAAAAAATTTATAAATTTAAAGACGCTCATGAATATTCAACGGGTTAACAGAAATGTCTAAGCATTTAGATTTTAAATTACGTCATAATGTTTGATAAGGTCCATCAGAAGGCGAAACGCGTCGGCTAAAGAATAATTATATTTTTCCGCGTGTCTCTTTATTCGTTTTGTCTCTTCTGCAGATATGCACCATCTAAGATTATTTACATATATATATAATGCCAAATATCTTAATTAAAGTTTATAAAAATAAAATACGCAATATGGAAACGGAGCAACTTCGGATCATATTAAAAAGGAAGGCATGATTACATGATGACAAGTTCTTCACTGGGGGATTTATAGTCAAGAGTACCTCTTCATTAGATATATCTGAATATTAATATATAGGATTAATACAAATATAACATTTTGTCACTTAGCTGATAGAAAGCACGCATTTGCCTTGGCCTAATCAAGTTGCAAGTGCCAGGATGTAAAGTCTTAGACAAAAGATTGATTGATGCTAAATTCATATAATACTTTGGTTTAAATACAATCGTGTATATATATATATATATATATATATATATATATATATATATATATATATATATATATATAGAGAGAGAGAGAGAAAGATAGGTATGTAGAGCTAGTGAGAGAAATATAGATATGTGTAGTTAGATAGATACAAATAGAAAAAGAGATGAATAAGAATTGATAGATGTGAAGGGGTAAAACAAGAATAGACACACATATACACGCGCCTACACACACACACACACATATATATATATATATATATATATATATATATATATATATATATATATATATAGAGAGAGAGAGAGAGAGAGAGAGAGAGAGAAAAGGAGATGGTAAAAATGCGACAGATTTTTGCAGGCCAGCTAAGTTATCTATTGGGGAGTGATTTGTCCAGGTGATCGATTACCAAATTTGTTTTCCGTATCGGATTCAGGCTTTCTTTTTTAGGAACAACGTAAATATTATTCACTAAAACGCCATTGACAATCATTTTACATTTTGGTGTTTACAATGCAAGTTTTTTTCTTGAAAACAACCAGAAAAGCATAATGAGGTAAAGAGGGAGTAAAAGGAAAAACAAACAAGTGAAAAAAGCGAAAAGAGTGTGTTTTAAATATGCAGTTGTTTACCTTTGCATAGGACAAAATCCTCTTGAACTGAAAACACCATAACTTCTCATACTAGACAGACACACATTCAGAATTGCGAATACACATTACCATCCGATGCCCGCTTAGACATATTGGATTGTTTTACAAATTACATGCATATAGAATTATCTACTGTTTTCATGTACGTAATCCAGTACTGACCATTGATAATCGGTCTAAACAAAATTCAAAATGCTAAAGTTCTGTTTTTTGTTTATTTACACTCAATCTCTGACAAAACTTTAATAAAAGGTAAACAGGTTAGATTGATAAACGTTTCCTATTTGTTTCTTATCGTATTATCTCGGATTCTGGCCCATATTAGATCTGCTTTTGTTCTTTAACCCACACTCACGCACACACAGGTTTATGTATAATATCTATCTATCTATCTATCTATCTATCTATCTATCTATCTATCTATGTATGTATGTATTTCGCTTCCATATCAAATTCTTAGCCTACAAGATGTTAGAAAAATTTCCTTGCATATGCGAGCCAAATGCTTTATTGAGAAAAAAAACTTCGTATAGAACGAGATCCTTTTTTATGCAGATATTTTCACTGATGCGTGAAATGTCTGATGAAACACAGAAACTGCAGGGTATATTTGACAACATATATCATAAACCTATATATATATATATATATATATATATATATATGTGTGTGTGTGTGTGTCTGAATAAAAAGAGACAAGAGGTAAAACTATACTTAGTCGACGCGTTTCGTCCTCTGATGGACTTTATCAAAGCAATGAAGGATTTATTTCGTTGCACGTGTTTATATATAAAACCAAGGATGTCATTGGTTTATCAAGGATTAATAAGCCAATGATATACTCACTTTTGTGTATAAGCACGTAAAATAACATAAATGCTACTTTACCTTGATAATATCCAAAAGACCACAAAACGCGTCGGCCAAGAATAGTTTTTCCTCTATATTCATTTTCTTCTATTACAGCTATATGAATAATAATGACAATAGGAAAACTAGTAATTACTAGTTTTACTATTGTCATCTTTATTCATAAATATATATATATTGTGTGCATTTAGGCAGCAATTTTTCATTGATGCATGTTTCATTAAATAATAAAGACAAGTTTTGTCGATTTATGTTAAGTAAGTTCCTTTCATATTGTCTGATAAACTTAATAACATTATCATTGTCCCGAGCTGCGATGCGATTTTCGCTTCCGTGTCTCGTGTTCACGAGTTTGTCGTTGCTTTGAAATTTTTCATGCAACAAAAAACAGACTATCATTATTGTTTTGTCCGTGTATTGTTTGATATATTGAAATGTAATTGTCATCCTTGATAATGGCTTATGTAAGCCGAAAGCTTAGATAGGATTAAAACATGTATCAATATGGTGTTTTCCATTCGTCTTTCAATGATAATGTTATTAAGCTTATCAGACAATATGAAAGGAACTTATTTAAAATATATATATATATATATATATATATATATATATATATATATATATATATATATATATATATATATATATATTGTCTGATTCGTTTTTGTTTGCTAAGCATGACGCACGATTAACTAGGTTGCAAATTTAAACGTACAAGAGTGCGAAGATGCACACACATGCACGCCCAGGGCATATTGGTAGAAGGAGAGAGGAATATATATATATATATATATATATATATATATATATATATATATATATATATATATATATATATAGTGAGAGAGAGAGAGTTGAGAGGAGAAACGTTTATTTTTGCTAAATGTATTCGATCGGTTAACATTTCCATGAATATTTCCTTTTTAAATTTCCAACGGAGAACAGAGGGGAGAGGAAATACTTTGGGATAGTGTGACTTTCGCATAGAAGTTGAAAATTCAAGCGCCGAAATTTAAAAAAAAATACGTATATGTATATATAGGAATAAAAAAGCAGCAAAGCAGAGAGAGAGAGAGAGGGGGAGAGAGAGAGAGAGGGGGAGAGAGAGAGAAAGAGAGAGAGAGAGAAAGAGAGAGAAGCAAATAATGAATAAATAAAACCTAAAGAAGAAACATTATTTATGAAGCCGAATGCTGATAACATATCTCATCACCGATTCTCTTTACAGGCCACTGTAACATTGAAGAAAGAATTAACCATGGCGGATGGAAAAAGAATTATTTACGGTTCGTTCGAGAGGCTATAAATCAAAATGCAAGACTGGTAGTACCTTTTATTTCTTTGAAGTTGTCTTGTTTTCTTCTGTTGTTCGCCAAAAACGTACAAAGTAGCAGCAAGAAGAAAAAACAAAGAATGATAAGCGAAGATATATTAACATTTATATCTACTGCCGATCAGAACAAAAAATAAAATAAATAAAAATAATAGCAACAACAACAACAATGTGATTCTGATAAGACGTAAAACGAAATGCATTGATTTATTATTGTTAAGATAGGGATCACCTGAGTTTAGTGATATGTACAGTCTGGTAAAGATTTCTTTTTCGTTTAAACTCCTCATGCTTAAAAAAAAAATGCTGCACAACTTTAACTTTAAGCAAGACAAAAAAAAAGGTTCGAGCAATTTTACGCGAAAAAAAAAAAAATTAGTTACGTAACAGGTGATCTGTTTGAGATAAAGCGAAACAAATCCCGGTTAATTGGGGCTGAACGGGAACATAACAATTTGAGCATATTGGCTGCCCCTTTTATGCGACGGATCATAAATATAGGGCTGAATTGAAAACATGCGAACGCTTCGAAATTAACATCTATTTATACCCCGGTAAAATAAAACAGTTAGATGAAACCATGTAACGCTATTGTATATGACTGAAAAATACAAAGGACGGCTGTAAAGTTCATAGGCAGACCAAGATAATGTTATTGAATGTGCTTTAATGATGTTTATTATTTAAACATAATTCTCCTTGTGGTATGCACACTTCTTCCATCAGCGTTGCAGTGCCTGGATCCTAATTGGTCAAGAAGCTTTCATCCTGTTGATAAAAAAAGTTACAACATCAGATCTGAAATTCAAAAGCGTCTCCGAGCCCTTGTGGGTGACGAATTATTCCTCAACCTTCAACCCATCTCCCACCGGCGGGATGTACCAAGCCACTCGCTGCTCTACTACTACTTCCATGGAAAGTGCTCGGACGAACTACATTTCCTTGTCCCGCCAAGGCAAACCTTCATGGCAAGAACACGCCATGCCACTTACATAGTAGCAAATCACCCACATATCCTCTTTATTCCATTGGTGAGAAGTATTAGGTTGGTGCAAAAATAATGACGTAATAATGTCGTTTTTTGACGTTACGTCAAAAAACGACATTATTACGTCATTATTTTTGCACCAACCTAATAAGTTCCACTCGAGCAGCTTTTTCTCACGAACCACTGCTCTGTGGAATAAACTCCCAACAGGATGTTTCCCCTATGACTATAATCTTCACCTATTCAAGGCTAAGGTTAATCGTTATTTTCCTCACCTATATACACAAATGGCCTCTTAATGAAACCTTCTACCTCGAGTGTCTCCCGGGCTTTGTAAAGGGGGACTCTGACTTTAAAACAAAAAAAAAATCATCACTGCGATACTGGTTCATGTTAGGAAAAAGGTGATAATCAGTTAGGGCCAAATCAGGAGAACAGGTTGGGTGATCAACCAGTTTAAAGCCACAATTACACACAGTAACCATTAAAATCAATATCATGTGTGCTGGAACATTTTCCTGATGAAACAAGAACCCATTCGTCAATTTTCCTGGGCGTTTGATCTTGATAACTTTCATAACTACCTCAGTATGTTGGCATCGTAAACTCCCTTTTAATGTTTGGCTCTTTCGTAGATAGTGTATATAAACAATGCTTTTTGCATCCGCAAGAGTCTGAGGTCATCACCGTCCCTGCAGATGAAACGACGTTGGCCTATTTGGAGCAGGAAAGGACCGATTCTTTCCACGGGGTGTATTGTCTCACTGACTCTGACCTAAATTAATGAATCCAACACTCGTCATAGGTTAGTAAACCTTCAGGGAAACCAGTTGGAACTGCCTAAAACATTGTCAGATTTTCGCGTGATATGATCAAACTAAATGCGCTTTTAATCATGTTTCAGAAGACACTAAGTAACACGCCGAGCAAAAACCTGCGTCATTTCATTGTTCATTGTACAGAATATTGTCAACTCTCTGACGTGATGTACTAATAGTATTGGCTATTTGATTTATATTCAATCGCCTGTTATCCATCACCATGTGGTAATCACGATCAATTTTTTTCTCAGTAGTGACAATTGCAGGACGTCCAGACCTTAGGCCATTTTGAAGACTCTTTCTTCCCTTGGTAAATTCAGCTGTCAACTTCTGCATTTTTGATAAATCTAGAGTGTCATCCTCTAAGACAGAAACCATATCATCACAAATGTCCTTGGGGGCTAACCCATTTTTCTGCTGGTACTTGATAACACCACAGTGCCAAATTTTATCCATTTTAAAGAGAAATCGCTACTAGTTACTTTTGAAAACTTCTTTGAACAATCAGATGTCAGTTTGTTTGGAGAGAAACAAAGCAGTTATTAATGAGGTGAGTTGTAAATAATGAATTCAAGATCTAACAGTTCTAGCATCACTCCTTCAGTGTATCAAATTTTCAGCCTTACCCTTGTAGTGACCGCTATTGATGAAAGGTCTTCGCCGGCGATGAACAAGAGACTGCTTAAGGAAAAATTTAATGAAATCTGCATCAGCAAGGTAACTCTGATGTTTTCAATGTTACGGGACGTTTGTACCACTGAATGGCTCACACAGTATCTGTGATCACATGCATGTTTTTCCTTCCTTAAGCATTAATAAATTGTCGAAAGATGAGAGCAGGAAGAATTTTTCTTTTTTGTCGGATGGGTGTGGCGGCAATCAGGCACACTTCTACTTGATATGCCTTTTCATATCTGAAATTATGTTGCACACACACACACACACACACACACACACACACACACACACACACATATATATATATATATATATATATATATGGGAAAAGGCAAGAGAGATATTGGAATATACCGAGATAGATAGATAGATAGGCACGAACAGACAGACAGATAGATAGATAGATAGATAGATAGATAGATAGATAGATACGAATAGACTGAGATTGATCGATCGATCGATAGATTGATAAGCACGAACAGATAGATAGATAGGCACGAATAGACAGACAGATAGGCAAGAATAGATAGATAGATAGATAGATAGATAGGTAGATAGATAGATAGATACGAATACACTGAGAGATACGTAGATACGAATAGGCTGAAATAGATAGATAGATAGATAGATACGAACAGCCTGATATATATATATATATATATATATATATATATATATATATATATATATATATATATATATAGATAGATAGATAGGAATAAACTGTGATAGATAGATAGATATGAATAGACAAACAGAATAGATATGATAGGAATAGTCAGAGAGATAGATAGATAGATAGATAGATAGATAGATAGATAGATAGATAGATAGATAGATAGAAACGCAACTAAAAATATGGTAGAAAAATAATCAAAGACTAAAATGAAAATGATTAAATAAAATTGTGCATGACAGAGCTCATATCATCAATTTTGCCTGAGAAATGTTTTAGATTGAATCGATCAATCAATGAATCGACTGATAAAACACGTTTTCTTGGTGCATTACGTGTGAAAACTTGGAGAATATTCAAGTGAGAAATTATTGGTCGGAAGATCAACTGAGAAAGCCATCGCGCAGTCACACGCTCAATCTACCTTATTTATAGATTCGATTCCATAAATGAGGTTGAAATTACCTCGTTTACTTCAGATCATAAAATCTAATCCAGACACATATAGGATGTTAACGAATTCGCAGATACGAAACACCCTTACATAAGGATGCAATCATTGCAATCTAATGGGTATATTTTTTTATGCATATCGACAAATATCCATCGAAGAATGGGTTTGTACGGGTATTAGTCGATCGATATTTAAACCTAATTAAAGAGCAGTCATATATTTTCTCCTTAGAATTGTATTCTTCTGCCTAAAGAATTTAATTTTAGTATCTATATATCTGTGAACGGGTGTTGAAAATATATTGACCTGGTCCAGATCTAAAAATCAATATTTCAATGATCAGACAATTTTTTTTTTTGAAAGGGATTTACGACTAGATGAGTCAAGTTATGTTGAATTACACTGTAAATATGTAGAAAGCAAGTACATATTTTTCCTTTTATATATTTATTTGAGAGGGGCACCTCGACGTGGTGTCATGTTGTAGAAAGTTTGTCTTGCTAGATCAATTACGACTGAGTAGTGAGTTCGATCCTCACTGGGTACCCCATACTTTCGGCCTTGTGCCACATCTAAGCCGGGCTTAGAAAATCACTATATTTATTTGAGAGTGTTTGTTCCAGTCTATAGGATTTTTTTTTTAAAGCATTTCACCCATGCAAGGCTGGAAGCCACTAGGACGCAAGGGGTTACAGAAAATTTAGAGCAAGATCAGATAGGAGTGATAGAAGAAAGGATGAGGAGAAGGGTAATGGACAGATCAAGGCAACTGGAGATGTCGATTGACATTACACTTGGATATCTGGAGATTATAGCTCACAGGGAAACAGGAGAAGGGAAGGGAGTTCCACAGGCGAGAGGTGCGAGACATGAAGCTATTAGAGTAGAAGAGACGGCTACATTTAGGAGTTTCGACAGTGATGGGGTGAGAGTGGGATGTCAAATTATATATTTATTATGTTTTTTAAATACATAATCGTGACACAAGGCCGAAGGGGAAGTGGAGAGAGGTTGGTCGTCAGTAACTACCCTAGTTAATCACACTCACGATCCATTCATTTAGTACAATATACCCAGTCCATATGAATGAGTTAAAAAATATCCCCTCTCCTCAAATTCATAGATAAAACATATAGATGCATGCTGGGATATATTCCTAGCCAATAAGATAGGCCACTTCTCGTACTCATCTGTAATGTTTTTGTTTTTGCTTTCTTTGAAGCCAGAACGATGACGTCACTTGCTTGTATCCCTTCTTAATTTGTCAACTCTTTGCTTCATTACTGTTGACTTGTCTCTTTTGTTTTCCATATATTCTTTGCCCAATATTGTTTGCCCTGTTCTTTTTTTTTCTTCTTTTGTTATTATTTATTGCTACCTTTGTCAGTTCTGTGTGTTGGGCATTTCTACCAATTGCATTTAAACATGGTTAATTATTATACAAAGAGGAGAAATTGTCTTCATGTCTGCCTGTATGTTTATTATTTCATAGTTTATTTTTAGTGGATTCTCGTGTTTGAGCAGACGTCCCGTTTGTTTTAAACACTATTTCGTCTACCGGCCTGCGTACTCGATAAAATCTAATAAAGATAACGTGCTGAGCGGCATGATTTAAACCTGCGAACCGCTTTGCAGGAGAAACCAGTTTAATCAGTTGCGCTTTGACTGCTCGTTTACGAAGAGCTTCCAAATCAAATAAGATTCTATCTTGCTATAAAACTGAGGCAAATAAAGAAAACAGCAACCAGAGAGTAAATTCAAGCTCTCCCAACTGGTATTTCAACCTTGAGTCGTTCCTTCTTGAGTTCTGTCTCAAAATCACACTAACAGACTGTTCTTGCCGCCAACCGCGAACGTCACTCGAAGAACTCCCTGCAACGGTGGGGGGGGGGAGTAGTTGCTTTTATATTTGTCCATATACCCATAATCCCTTACGTCTTCATGTGATCCCATAATTCATTGCGTCCATGTCCCATAATGCATTGCATCTTTATTGCATAAAAATGCAATGCAAGTCCCCCCCCTCATTCTTTTACGTTATCTGGCCAAGGACGGATTACGGCAGAGCGGTAAGTGCTTTTTTCTCCCTCATTTCAACTGCAGTAGCTTTACATGCTAAGCAAATACGGGCTCTTTTTTGGCGGGGACAAGGCAAGTCGCGACCAGTTGTGTTCGTCCCAGGTTCTGTCTCATGTCCGCCACAAAAACACGTTCACTCGTTCAGATTTTTCTCGAAACATATCTCTTTCCATACATTTTTTTTTACATTTGAAAACGTAAGGAATATGTACCAGAGGACACCATGTTTTTATGCCTCAATTTCGGCAAATTATGTTTTTGTTTAATTTTTAATGCAAACTCATTTCTGGGCACAGGTGATTTTATTTCGTCATATCCTTTTGTTTTTACAGCTTCTGAGAATTGCAGTAGACAACCAATGGAGTAGTTCCTCGTTTATTTCCTTGCAGTTTTTAATCTAAAGTATTTCTTCTCTTTGACAAGCTGCCATCCAATTCTCATGCAACTAAACATCCGATTAAACTGCTATTTAACACATAGGAGATACGAGATGAATTCACGTCTTTAATAAGAGCATGAGTGTGAACGTGAAGGCAACTGAATTTGAACTCGTTTCACTGATACCACTTTCGGTGCCGATAACCGTTACGGGAATCTTCGTCTTCTATGTGACGTGTCCCTTCAGGACGTTGGCGATCATAGCTCTCCACAATTTCCTGTCCTTTGTAGCTATTAATAACTTTTGTCTTTTTGCCTTCTATCCCAAACCCAGGTCTGTCATCCATTCACTCAAGCTCGCCAGGTAGGTTGTGCGTTGTTTTCACCTGTCTCTCTTACTTTCAATCTGTCCTGTGAGTATCAAAATTTCCAAACCCTCTTTCCTCATTATGTGCCCCAGAAATCTAGGCTGTTTCTTCTTGATGTTAATTAACAGTGTGCTTTTTGGTGCAATTTTTCCTTGGACTTCATCGTTGATAACATGTTCAGTCAACGGTATTCTCATCATCCTTCTGTAGATCTACATTTCTTTTGTCTCAAGTTTCCCCTTCAACTGTGAGAAGATTTTCCATCATTCACTGTAAGAGAGGAAGACTTATATTGAAAAAAATGTTCAGTGCTCTTTTTTTGTTTCTAAGGATATTCATAGACCTACTGAAATTAGTCGATTCCACAGGAAATTAATGTCTTTTTAAGGAGTCCATTCGACATATACTACTTCGTCGAATATAAGTTTTGTTTTTTTATTTTGGTATACCATAGTTTTCCTTCCTCAGCTAGCCAAGCGCAGATGTGCCGTTTTCAAAATACGCTATGTATCGCCAGGTTGAAAAAGAATAAACTATGTTGTAGTTAAATATACATTTTTTGTGATGTCAACGAACACTCGTTGCCACGTTTGGGATATCAACGAATACTCCTTGTCACTTTTGTAATGCTCGTTGAAGTAGAGACTTTATAATCGCAGATACAGCTACAGCAAGCCGTTGAACAATGCTGATGTCAGACGCTTTCGAATAGCATTTGCACTAATAGTACTTGTTCGATAATATTCGCTCGCAATAGTAACCACCATATAGTGATCTGAATAGTAATCCGTATAGTGATCAGTATAGAGAAATAGTATAGTGAATAAAGTAGAGAATAGCGGTCCGTATAGTAACAGAGGATACATTAGAAATAGCGATCATTTAGACGCCACACGACTTTCTACTTATGCGTTTTTCCCATGGTCGCGTGATCCACTTAATTCAATAATGGGATCGCCTGTGTTTGCTTCACTGACGATCTTATGTTCAAACTCAAGTGTCGGCAACAACACTTTATTTCTATATAACAACATTCTACTGCACATATTTACACCAGATACTTGCCACGTTTTTTTTCTATCATCCATTTTGAGAGAGAAAAAGGTGAATGAATGAATAGGTGAATTATAGAAAGATAATATTGTGCTTACAAGATACCCTTTAAATACAGCATCAAGTGTTTAAAGTGTATTAATTTTATATAATTTTCCTTTTTATGACCTTGATATATTTGGGCAAAGAAGATCTAATCTATATATTTCTATTCATAGGAAATCGAACTGCTTTTGAATAAATGGTAGTTTTTCTTTTTCCCATTTTCGTTCATTTTCTTTTCATTTATTTTTTCCTCGGGTGTTGGACTAATAGGACACCATGTCGACGCATGTAAACTTACCAATAGATTCTCAAATATCGATCGAATAAATAAACACTGACACAGGCAGCGACATAGAGTTACCGGTGGAATATTGGAACGTTAATTTATACTATGTAAGGGCAAAAGTACTCAGAACGTTTTTTTGTGCTCTTAAGAGAATCTTAGGAATGTCTTCGAAGTTTTTGCAGATTTAAATTCATTGTGCAATCAGTTACCATTATTAGGTCGTGTGGAAGTTGAAACTACAAAAACTCCTACAGAAGGTAGAGACGGAAACCGAAAAGAAAGAATAATAAAACAACTGCAAAAAGACGGAATGCATGGTTGTTAGCAAAAGGGTGAGCCCAAAATGCAAGTTGCAAATTGGCAATACCAAAATCAAACAAGTAGAAAAATGTAAATATCTGGGAAGTATTTTAATAGGGGATGGAAAGTTCGACACTGAAATCTGAAGGCGCATTATGACAGCTACAGATGCCTTCCAAAAGCTAAGCCGAGTATTAAATAACAGTAAAACTTCGTTAGAAACAAAGAAAAGAGTATTGAAGTGTTTCGTGACATCTGTCCTTCTATATGGCAGAGAATATTGGACAATCTCCTCAAAGATGATAGAGACGTGAAGCAACAGAAATGTGGATGTTGAGAATAAAATGGACCGAACATATGAGCAACGATGATTATTTTTACAGAAAATGGAAACAAAATGGAAACTTATACCTAATCTAAAAAAAAGAAACCCCTCT